CCCAGCATCCCCAAGATGAGCCCTTGTGGGTGCAGGTCCCCCTGGGCACCCCAGCCCCAGGTGAAGTCAGTCAGGACACCTCAATTGGCACAGGGCTCTCAGTACAAGGGTTGGTGTCACTTGGACTTCCTGCATGTGCTGACTGTGGGGTTCAGGTGGGTTCCCTGTGCTGTCTGCCCTGCACCAGAGCCGTGTSGCTGGTTACCCAGAGGCTACAAGAGGAGGGAATCTCTCCCAGACGGTCAGTAGCCCCCAGATATGGCGGAGGTAGGTTGGTGTTGGTTTTGGAGTGACTGCAGGGACCCCTCCTGGGTGAGGCGCTGCTACCCTCCACAGCTTTCCTGCTCCCACTCTCCTGGTCTTTTGTGGCTTTTTTAGCCAGCCCATGGTTTTCAATGTGGGCAGTGACACCTCACATGGAGGGGGACCCACAGTGCAGTGAGGGAGAGCAGACCTACCTCCACTCAGCGATGGTGCCAGAGGAGGGAGTAGTTTTGGGAATTAGAGTTACCCACCCAGTCCTGTCCCTTCAGTGGGAACAGGGCAGCTGGCTTCTGATTTTTCTGCCTTCAAGTTTATGTAAGGCAAGGACGGGGTTACAGAACTGTGGAAGAGCTGGGCTGAACATGAGGTGACACTGAAAACAAGATTCAAAAAAAAATTACCAGCTTGTGTTTGAGTACAGATTCCTCATTTGCAGTTAAATATAATTGTGAAGGTCTGTGAGCCAGAGAGATATTTCTAGTTATTGGAGAACTAGCTCCTGCCCCTGTGATCCCCGAGGAATGATAATGAGATTTACCCTAAGCAGGCGCTGCAGAGAGCCTGGGAGAGCTCCGTGCAGTGATGGTGTATGATGAGAGCAGAGATGGYTACAGGGTCCCCGCCTGCCGCAGCACGCACATGAACCCTGCAACTTCATCATTTTCCGTGCTGTTCACACCGTGCCTGATGCCGACAGACCCACAACAGCCGMCTGGAGCCCTCCAACGCCAGGGAGGTTTTTCTGGCTCCTTTCAGGGCAGGAAGGATGCTTGTGGGGGAAAGGGAGCATCCAGCCGCTCTGGGGAACCAGGACATAGGGAAACTGTGGGTCATCCTTGCCCTGCCCGCACTGCCTCCTCCCAGAACTCTTCAGGTTCTGGTGCATTTCCAGCCCAGCACAGCCTCATGAACAGGATTCATTCCACGGTCCCACAGCAGCCGCCTCCCCTGCCCTGGTGGTCATGGCCGGGACAGAGGGTCAGCCTGACCTGGCATCCTCATGGTCAGAAGGCAGCACGGGGTCAGTGCTTGCTGGAGCCCATCCCAGCAGCGTTCTCCGGTGTGGTGGGCAGCAGAGCTGTAACACCACGGGCAGGGGCTCAGAGGGGACCGGCGCACCCCTGCCCACCTTGGTTATGGTCTTTGCAGCGTCAGTGACAGATATGTAAGGATTAAATTGCAGTAATCTCTGTAATCTACTCAGTGAGATTAAAACCTCCCCCCGCCCCCAGACTTTATCCCTTTCATTCCAGGACTCTTGAGCAGTGATTACAGCCGGGGGAAGCCATTTAGCTTTTAAGCACCACTCCATCCTGCTTAAAAATGCATTTCAGAATCAAATGAGTTTGTGCAGCACAGCCAGGGCTGGCTGCTCCGGCTGGGCAGGAGGCTCAGAATTAGGACCAAAGTAGCTTGAGTCAGAGTCAAAATTAAATTTATTGTTTCTGACCTTATTGGGAATACAGTGCATTTACAACTGATTAACGAGGCTTAACAGGAGTTCAGACCCAATTGAAGGCAGCTCCAAAGCCTGCACTTCCATCCTGCTGTCTGACAGGCACTTTTGGGACTCTGCTGCCCTTGGGAGACCCCACAGTGCGGCGCTGGGAGATCTGCCAGCCGGCCTTGGGTTGGGTGGGGATGTGCCGGGGCTCTGTGAGCCACGAGCAGCCCTCAGAAGCAGCACTGGGGCCAGGGCAGCTGAAGTGCCATTAATTGATGGGACTGAKCACCACCTCCATCCTCTGCAGCACCAAGCCTGTGGCTCTCACCGGGCCAGGATGGTGCGAGGGCTACACCAAAGGRGARGSAGGGAGGGAGGGAACCACTCAAATGCTGACGGCTGCCACAGTGATCCTGGAGACTGAGAGTGAGGATGCAGTCCCAGTGTGCTCGCAGTGCTTGGGAACAGCTGAGTCCTGCTGGCCTGTGCCCCCACAGTGTCCTGGGGTCTCTGAGCACCATCAGCTCTGACYCCCATCCTTGCACTCTCCTGGCCTYTCACTGCTGCCAACAAATCTGGCTCAACTGCATYCCTCTCCTCCAAAATGCTAAAGCCYAGCTCCAAAATGCCAAAATGTTATTTTACCAACTCCAGGTTTCCTGCCAGGACAAGGAGAACAGGGAAGCACTTGAGCAGCAGGCCTGGTGTCTGTTTCAGGACCTCACCAGGGCTATGAGGCTGGAGCAGCTCAGCCCTGGCAGCTTCGCAGCACTGAGGATTCCCCTGTCCCCATACACGTACTGCTCAATCTCTGATTCCCAGCACCAGGAGAGGTGGCAGTTTGTCACCCCAGAACCAAAAGGTTGCTAATGACATAATTATTAGACACAGAAAGGTGGACTAACAGTGACTCTTTGGTCCTGAGTGCTTTCTTTGGCTGGAAATAAATCATAAACTTGTTCTCTTCTGCCTACAATCTGGAGACATAATGGACAGGATACCACTTATAATCTTACTTTCTATTTCTAGAGTGTATTTTATTGCTCCCCTATTCCTTTAGGTTTCATGTGCTCCTGGCACAAACTTTGTGTATTTCTTTAATAATCTCCTGATCCCTAGACTTGGGCAGCTTTTCTCTCTGCCTGCCCAGCAGCTGCCTGTGCTTGGGATGAGCCCTGAACGGGGCTCTCCCTGGAAAACCCTTCTCCCGGGCTCTCACAGGAGCCCTCAGCAGTGGTTCCTGCTGCTGTCAGTTCATGGTATAGTGAGATCAGTCTCTTGGMGCAGAAACAAGGCAAAGGGGCTGGGCTGAGGCCTGAAGACAAGCTCCAACTCCTTTCCATGATATTTGTGTCACTGAGGCACTGGAACGAGCTGCAAGTGACCTGGGAGGGACAGGATGCTGGGGGTCCTTCAGGGTTGGTGTCAGACAYGGCAGTGGGGTTTCTAGCTGCTTTGGTAAATCCCAATCCAGCAGAAGATGGGAGAGCTAGGGAGTGATGAAGGAGGTAAAATGGGAAAGACCTGCTTGGGAACAGAGCCAGGAGAGGTGAAGAGGAGAGGGAGCACTGGTGGGACCCTGAAAAGTGACTAAGGGAGGTGGGGAAGAGAAGATGACAGAGAGGATGATGTAAGGCCGGGAGCAGGATGCAGCACCAGCTCCACAGAGAAACAGGTGAGGGGGGCAGAAGGAGGCAGGATGTTTTCCAGACCACACAGTTCTTCCTCCAGCCCCCATCCTGCAAGGCACTGGCTGAGGAGAGGGAATCTTCAGCAGTGATCCAGTGGGCTCCTTCCTCCTGCAATACCAGTGCCCAGCTCCCCACTCCAGGGATCCCACTGGGGGCTGGTTCCCAGGGCTCTGTTAGCACAGGCAGCAGGGCCAGGAGCGTGCTGATGGCACCAGAAAGCTGTTGTTTATGTGGAGTGGGGTGTAAACAGWGAACATGTCAGAGGAAAGACATGCCCTGCACAGATACAAAGACTGGAAGCAAAATTGTCGGCTTTACAAAACATTCCTCCCTTGCAAGTARAGAAACCTGGAGGTGTCGAGGCATCCGCAGCAGCTTTATTTATCCAGACGCCTCTAATGTTCATGCTTAGGCAATGTGTCTGCTGCTGAGGCTGGATCACCACATGGAGGTGGTGATCTAAAATGGAAAAAGCAACTTTTCCACAGATTTGGCAGTTTGTCATGGAGAGGAACTAAATGATGGATACTTCCCACCACAGAAAGGAGAACCTGCCAGTGCCTGGCCCCTCAGGTACCTTCACCCTTGCTGCTGTGTGGGCAGAGCAGTGGCTCTCGGACAGGAGGCTGAAGCCCTGTGGGCTCTGTCAGTGCCAGGGCCCTGCCCAGCCCTGCACTGGCTCTGGTGCAGCTCTGTGAGCGTGGGAGAACCAGCCCTGGCTGCATTCACACCAGTCAGGGATTGCCCAGTGCTGTCCAGCCCCTCTGGGCTAGTTCTTGCACATGGCTCCATCCCCCTGCTTTGACCCACACAGAGGGGCCGGGGCTCAGCCCTCCCTGGCAGAATCTGCTGCCACACAGAGCAGTGGACACAGTACRCAATGTCCCAAAAGCAAAAATCCGTGGTTCACTGAGGATGATGAGGTTTGTTTCCACGAACACTCAGCCCATCCTCTAGATCCAGAGCTCTCCAGAGACAGCAGGATACTTCTTCCTGGAAACTTCACTTGTGCTCCAGGGAGGAGCAGTGCCACTGTTTCTGCATCAACCCAGGTGAGAGGCTGCAGGCAGCACTGCTTTTCATTTTTTCTCCATCGTTTCTCACGTCTGCACCGAGTTCTGGGTGTTACACAGGAGGAACTTGGTCCCCGCCCTGGACTGGCTGCCGGGAGCCTGCGGCATCCTCGTTTGTGTCGGGCTGGCACTTCTTGCCTGTCTCTCCCTATCATCATCCTTCTTCCCAAGGAACAAGACAAGTAGTTTTCTGCAGCCGATCAGGCTTTACTAGTGCTGAGAAAGCAGGAGCGATGGCTGCTAATGTCTGAGCGATACCGCGCACAGCCCTTTGGCTCAGCAGGAGCAGCCAAGCAGAAGCCTGGGATGTCGGGGTGCAAGAGGAAAGGAAAGGGGAGCCGGGGATGGCGATGGAGCAGTCTGCACTCATACTCTGACACAGCCGGTGGGATTCCCGGGTCAGCCTGCATGTGGGGCATCACACCCGGGACAGGCGGGGCTGAGCAGCCCCAGCCCGGCAGTGAAATTTAATTCATGCGTCACCTTAAAGCTTTTCCCTCCTACTTACCGGCGGCACCGCGGCGGCCGATGGCTGCTCCTCCTGCCCTTTCCGAGGACAGAAGCGACGGCTACCGTGTGGCGCACTCCCCTCGGGGGYTGATGGTTCAGGCAGAGCGGCTCCGGCACCGGGCTGGGGCATCCCGGGGACCGGCCGTGACCCTCGCAGCCCCGAGCCCCGGGTGCCGCTCCCGGACGGGGGCTGCTCACACCACTCTGGTGCCGGTCCCCGCTCCCAGGCGGAGGTTGCGCGGCTGCGGGAGGCGTCACTCCCGATCCAGCTGCGGGGACGGAGGTGGGTGCCCCTCGCTCCACACCGCTGCTTCGAGCGGTTCAGGGCTGGCTGCGGGGGCAGAGCGGAGCAGGGCTGGGCAGGACAGCGGGAGCGAGGACGGGACGATCGCACCGGCACCGGGGCTGGGCAGGGCAGGACTCGGCGGGCAGCTCAGTCCCGGGAGGAAGGGCTGTGCGCCGCGGTAACCCCGGCCCGGCCCGGGGGAGGCACCGGCCGCCGAGCGGCCGCGGGGGCTCCGGGAAGCGCTGACGTCAGGCGGCCCCTTAAATAGCGACGCAGCCGCCGCTGCCCCGGCACTTCCCGCGGAGGCAGCGCGGAGCCGCCGCCGCCCGATGGCGGGGATGGCCGCGGCGGGCCGGCGGGCGCAGGGGGGCCGGGGCGGGCGCAGCCCCCGGGGGCGG